GAAAAATATTACTATAGTCTATAATTATTTTAAAGCGAGGTACCTACATTATTTTTAACACATTATTTCTTACTGCTAACGAGACTCAATTACATTATAGTGATAGTTTAATAAAAGATAACGATAGGTTCATAAACTAATTTTGAAGTTTGATCTATACTATGATTCCAATATAATATAAAGTATATATCTTTATACAATCAGTCTGCAATAATATTTTGTATAATGTATTAGGTATATAAGTATATTCTTTCAAGGATCCGAGGTTAACTACTGGATATTACATAGACATACTAAAAAAAAAGTTAATTTAATTCAGTTAGCTTATAAATTATAATATGTATTAAGTCACGTCATCTCAAATACGTATGCCATTTATTCGGTTAATCAATTTAGTGACATCAAAATTATTAGTCAAAATAAAAAATTGAAGGAACTCGTGTAAAAGTATGATTTTTAAGTAGTTATTGAATCTATTAACTTTCATTTTATTTAGTTATTATACTTGTCTTTTGCTTATAGTTTGTTTATTCAATATTTATTTGGTAATTATTGTTCAATCTAAAATTGAATATTAAACATGCAATACGCATTATTGTATATTACATGTAAATACAATATGATGTATATACAATTTAACTCGCTGTTCGACATATGTTTTCAGAAAATCGAATGTAAAACTTCATCCCTGAATATAACTTGTAATTTATTATAATGTGTGTGTTATTGTAGTGTAATTAACTTTATTTATTATACCTTTTATTATACTGCTTTATAAATTATAGTACTTTAGTAAGAACTTTTGGAGAAAAAAACTGATTGTATGAAAAGATTAACGTAATTAGATTAGATAATATAGTGTTTTAGTATTTATAAGAAATATGACTTATTTTATTCACGCATAATTATTCTGAATGTTATGAATGAGTGTTATAACGTCTGTACAATTTAAACAGACATTTTTCGTTGAAAAATATAAATAGGTGTACCTATATTAGGTAAATAAAACGCATTTAAAGCAACTAAAATTGAAGTGGTGTTTTCATATTTTATTCAAAGAACAAAACAAATATTAATACTAATAATGACTAATGAGTAATCTGTAATACTAATTGATTTACTGGTTTTTACATTTATTGTAATCTCTTAAAACTGTATCGAGTTGTTTTACTCACCATATATAATATTATATAGGTGCATTTTATGACTCAGATAATTTTTAAGAATCAAATTATGAAACACCTACGCTCGTTTTAGTATATTAAGTAACAGGTAACGTTTCTCGCACCCTGAAAGATTTACAATTTAACACTAAATAATGAAAATATTAAGCATGTAGAATATTTGCATTAAATTAACATAAAAATTACAATTAAAGAGTGGGTATCAAAAATAATAAAGTATTATTTGTATAAAAATCTTGGTGCAAAGTCATCAACATTATTCGTGGCGTGTATACTCCATATTATACTGTAATAATACGGTATATTATTATAAAATATATATATACATAGATCCACATAATAATAAATGAAATTGTTCACTAATTTGTCTTGTCTACTTGCTAACAAATATTTATTTATACGGCCATGAGGAATAAATAATAATATAATGCAGTAATATAGTCAAAAAACACGTTATTTTTGTCAGATGGAGTTTTTATATGAACATTTGTTTTGGAATAAAACATTATTGTCCATTACTCAAGGGATGCATAGACCCAACTTTTAAGTCATGGATCATGGTGATTTTTACTAGAAATTATTTTAAACTCAAGTGTGAATTTTAATTAAAAAAATAGGGACTCCTAAATATGAATAAGATATGTTCGGCTCTATCACCGGATGGCATTTCTCCTCATACATTTCAGGTTATAATTATTGAACATATTCTATCATCATGTATATTATTCCTATTATGCCATTTCTAAGCACATTATATTGTTAATTTTAGAAATAGCTGTAAAAGAAAATGTAGGTAATACCTATATTGATTTATGCAGTATTTTAACAATATATCGAGTAAAATATTTTATATAAAAAAGCAAATTGTATTGAAAAATAGTTTTGTAACAGGAAAAAAAACTTTATTGATTACTGTGGCTTTTACTATTTAGGACTTTGTTGGTCGTGTAATACTGTAATATATACGTTATACAAGTATACAACTTCAAATATATGAAATAACAGAACACGACTTTGCTGTAAGACACGTGAAAACCTTGACAGTTATGATAATGTTTCAAGGACTACGCGAATATTATGATATCCAATATTGCTGCAAGCCAACAAAAAACACAAGGACCTTTGAAGACATTTTTTTTTTCATAAAATAATATTGTACATGTTTTTCTTATCTACCTAATTGAAATTCTTAACTATATATGAAATAAATCTTGTACGATGAATTCTCGTGATGGTTTAAATTATTGATAATATTATGAATGATAAGTACTTAATTTATTATTGTATGTAGTAAATAAATACTTGTTACTGTCGACTGCAGTGCTCGATTGGCAAATGCCCATGATCGTGAGGAGGGGGCGGTCGGACGGAACTCTTCTAACATTTTATTATAATTTACAAATTTCCCTAAACTGCTTGGGTTTAGTTCAACCATATCACGAGATGCTAATTTAATTCAAGTCTAGGCGCTGCTTGTAAGGTAAAATTAGGTGGGTTAAACAAAGAATAACGATTTTAGTTAATTTGTTGTAATCCAAAATATTTTCTAGGGAATTTTAAACTTTTAACATACATATTATTATTATACTCGTATTATACACAATAATATTTTCAAATACAATGTTTTTGCATTTTTGGGAAAAATTGATTCTACACTTCTACTTATACCGTCTAATAATAAAAATAATATTAATAATAATACTTAATTACTTTAATAGCAATATAAAATACATATATCATAATAAATATACTTAGTTATATATGCTGACAGACCGTCTTCACTAAGAATCGTTTTTCGTAAACACAATGATTTATCATTGGATTTAAATTTAACACGTACATTACAATTTACGGTTACTTAATGAATGACAAGGTATACTCGACACTTTCTGTACATATAATAGAATATAGACGCACCGCATCACGCACCCTGGCACCCATCGTTAAATATGTAAAAAGTCTTGACTGTGACATTTTTTTATCAAAATAAAAGTTTGATTTTGTAAGACGAAAATACGGCAGTGACGTTGCGTCAAAAGTCTATATAGGCACAAAGCGTTTGACGCGAGACAGTTCAGAAAAATACATATGTCTTCAGTTATTCGTGTCTTAACCCTCGATTGATGTTGCATCCAGACGTCCGAGGAATCCATTTAATTTAAAAACTATTTAAAAACTTATCAAGTTAGTATAATTAAAGCTGCACTATAATCCGGCATTTACAACATTTTTTTTCTTTTTAATTACTAACACGAGATCATTCTCAATGTGGAGAACTCAGAGGCGCCTTGATGACAAACTGTACATTTAGATTATCTTTTAAATATCAGTTAAAAAAATGCAATGCATCTCTCTTTATCTGTTAGTAAAGTAATTTATTATTTTAAAAAAGACAGCAAAAAATTAAAGAGTGAATAGTTGAAGACTTCGAGAGTGGTGAGTCGCGAGTATCATAATATAATATATATTATATTTTAATACAATACTCACGTTTAAATGCGTTTACCAGTTTACCTATATAGATGCATAACCTATTACTGTAGTTTTACATTTTAACTGGAAATAAGTTCATTTAATGGTTAATAATGTCATAAAATACAATAGTAAAAATAATAATTGCTTCTTTTGGGTCATTAAAGAACAGGGTACGTACACAAGCCAACGACATAAAATAATCAACCAACTTAAATCATTTATGTCCACAATGCACACTATAATGTTATATACCTGCTCCTATCCAGATACGTTTCAGCAAATATACTCTTGCTATTACGCAAGTGGCCATAATATCATATGAATAAACAATAATATATATATAAGTTCTTATTTTTGCCAAAACTATGTGAAAGTTTGAAAACAAAACAATTAAACTTTATAGCTAGATATTATTATACAGTATTAAAAAAAAAAAAATGATAACAATATTATACATACTCGTATAGTCGTATATGATACATTGTACTGGGTTTTATGCGTTTCGTCCTTCGCCGCAAGCTTACGTAGCAGACTTGTGCACTACACTGCAGGACGACCCGGTTGACAGAACCGTGTCGGCGTAGCTCATATCGCAATAGAAATATCTGTGACACTGAGTCCGAGCGGCAGGAAAAACGAAAAAAGTTCGGGAAACGGCAATAATAACCAAAAAATAACGAAGAAAATCAATATTGTACCGATAGCTCCCATGCATTTATGGTGCCTACCTATATGTTAGATGGTTGTCTAAACATGATATGTTAAGTAATTTCGTTATTTATAACCGATCATACTAATGATTTTTTTTTGTTTTATAAGTAATATCTTTATAATAGCTTACAGCTCACTACACCGATTGCCATAATATAATTAACGCACGGTCGTCAGTAGCATATTTAGGACTCGCTGCCCTGGGTACACATTTTCGTCATCCCCCTCGACCGGTTCTCATGTAATATATTATGATGTTTAAAACAATTTAATTTACCTATTTTATGATGTGTTAATGTTAAATCGTATACGAACTATAATACTTAATGAGCATTAGAAGAATTTTGAGACCATAGGTCTTATACCGTATGAGAAGAAAAATAAATATAACAAGTATCAGTATGACAGTATGTTCTATAATTATTATACCAATGTATTTATATTGAATATTTAAAAAACATACATAGGTAGTATAAACTATAAACTATTTATTGAGTAATTATGATAATATGTAATATTTTATTTATTTAAATATAAAATAAAATAAACTCGAATAAGCTAAATTAGATTTTTTCGATATGCTTTTGTTCATATATTTCGTCAACACTTAGGCCCATATGCATAGTCATTTTATGTGTCACATAAGACATAGTTATGTGACACATAATTTCTTTTAACAATTTTCTCTTGCACAGTGATATTTATGTATTACATAGGCCATAAACAAACACATAAAGTTATGCGCTAAAATTCCGCCACCTAAGTCTTAAGTGATACATAAATTTGTTATTTTTACGTGCTATCAATATTTTTCATGCTCAAAATATAAATTTTAAAAAGTTGTTTAAAAATATAGTAGTATGGACGATTTTTATAACTTTGTGAATTATGTAGAAATGGTTGATGAATATTTCGATGAATTTGATGTTGAACGAATTCCAAGAAGGTATATTCGTAATATTGAAGATCCGTTTGAAAAATATAATGACAACACATTTTTCAAACGTTATCGATTTCCAAAACTAATTGTCATGGATCAGTTATTAAATTTATTAGGTATTAACTATGCCAATAATCGAGGATTGCCTATACCTCCCATTCTACAGTTATTGACAACATTACGATTTTATGCAACAGCAAACTTTCAAGTGAAATACCACCTAATTTTAATTTGTAAAAATTATTTAAGACATGTTACTTTTAATTTATAGACTGTCTGTGGAGACTTGAGAGGCATTGACCAGAGTACTGTGTCTAGAATTATTAAAAGAGTTTCCCATGAGATTGCTAGTCGTTTTAGGGACCATGTAAAGTTTCCTCAAACTGAAGCTGAATGGTCAGTCATTAGACAACAGTTTTTCGAAATAGCTGGAATGCCAGGTGTAGGAGGATGTATTGATTGTACGCATATAAGAATACAAAATCCAGGTGGTATAAATGGAGAAGTATTCAGGAATCGTAAAGGATG